ATAAAGGGTATGACGAGTCAAAGGGGCCGTTTGGATTATGATCGACCATTGGGGATATTCAACGGGTGGTGGACGTGTTGTCTTGGATACATGGCCGATAAATCTTTTCATGAACAGGTAGGAATTTTCTGGTTCGTTTATATATTTAATATTTTAAATTCCCTCTTGGTTCATGTGTAAAAGACTTTGTCCAGGAAAAATGGTTGAGACATGTACAGATAAGCAAATGTTTGTTTTGTCTCGATGAAGTGAGGCTGTCACATGAAAGACAGATGCTCATCACTGCAAAAACTGGAACAACTGCAAACACTGAAACCGAGTATTTTGCATTTGGAATGAATGTCCAAAAATGTGAAGAAAGAATTGACACGATTTGCCATGTATATTGTTGAGGAAAACAAAAATCATAAGAATCATTAAATCCTAATGTATAGACATTATTTTAATTAGGAAACATAATACATGTCATTTCATTTATAATAAAGTTGTACTCTCATTGTTTCAGCCTATTCCTGTACAGAAGTCGCTCTCCTCCACTTCCGGTATTAGTACAGCGTTTTGTGGCCTTTGTTGTCTAATTTTCTGCTTTGATAATCTATGCCATCATTTTTCGGATTATCTACCAGGTAAGACAAGCTACATTTGGTCAATAATGAAAAGTTAAGCCAAGGGCAAAAAATATATCGGCTACTTTTATACGGAATTATAGACCACCGGGAAAGGAAAATTGGAGTTGATTTTTTGTTTTCACTTTTAACCGGGATCGAACACAAAGCGGTGAATATTGACTATTTTTCTATATCTCACCATATTTTATTTAGTTCAAGAAAAAAATAACAAAAAAAGGTTTCCTTTTTATTATTTTCCCTAAAAACCCTTTTATTTGTGATAAAAATTTTTTAAAAATAAAGGACAAAGGGAAGGTTTTAAATTTAAATTTCCCGAATAATTTAATTTAAATTTCACAACCCTTTTATTATTTTTTAATTTTGAAAATCAGTTTGGGACTTTTCAAAATATCATTCCCATGAAAAAAATACCCTTTCTAAAGATAACACTTTTTAAAATTTTCCCAAAGGTTCATTTTCGATTTTCTTTACAACTTTTCGAAATATGGGTTTAAAAATTGTGGATTGGTTATTGAGAAAACCCCAAACTATGTTTTTTGATATTTAGTTAATTGCTTTTATCTAACTGTTGTTTATCTTCGGGTTCATATTTTAGTAATAAATTTTTCATGTATTATACTTGAAAATTTTAAATAAGAACGACAAAATTAATATTATATTGTGTGCGTGGAGCTGTTTCCCAGACAACAGTTTTCCTGTTAAACCGTTGGATAAGAAAGAAGGCCGGAACGCAATGGGTCTTAACAAAATATGTTTTTTTGATAAGGGGGCCCTTTGGGATAGGGCCTCCATCTCAGGTATTATAAATAATAAGTTTATTTTAATTTTTTCAAACCCCAAGAATTCTATACAAAATAAAGCCATAGTTTTTCTATGAAACTGGGTCTTTTGATTTTTTTATTAATCTATATAAGTTAATAATATAAAATATAGATCTTTATGCTTGAGAGCAGATGTACACTTTTATGGACACATATGCAAATCATATGGAGACCAATCTGAAAAAGGGGACTTTTTATCAGACACTTATACTTTTGTCTGAATCTAAAACTATTTTTAGAGTTAATAAGATTCTGGAGCTTTTTATTAAAGTAAAAAACTTACCTCTCAGACTATTTTGTATGCATGTATTCAATTCGCTCAAACTTATTAATCATTTGTATATTGTAGGTGTTCTTTACGACCAAACCGGAAGTTACAACCGCCTCCATTTGTCGTGTCTGGAATAGGAATAGCTTTTGGTGGTGTTCTGCTATTTCTTATGCCATGTTGTCCAAAGTAGCGACACATTATATTTTTATATTGCTCTAATGATTATTTGCTTGAGGTATCGATGATTTTAGATATTGGCACACCAAATAAAATTTCAATGACAAATTCTCTTAAGCCTAAAATATTTTGTTGATTATGCAATTAAGGCAAAGTGTTTTTAAGAAACTTATTCTTGTTAAATAAGCAAGCTTTGTTAAAATAATACTCAACTGTCGCAAAGAACGCGAATATGTTAATGTGTTTTGTGTTTATTTTTCGATCCGCCGGCTTGTAACTGATTTTTTGTATGCGGGTTTAAGTTGACATGATTTTCATCTATTTCACGATTTTAACGTGCAGTGCATCCCTCACGCCCGCTTAGCACCGGTTTTGAGCGGTACTCAATTCTCAACACTTAATAATGCTGGCATCAATAATCCAGAAGGACCAGAAAAATATAACAACTCAAAAAAATAAAAGTTTAAAGAAGGAATAAGAGTTGTATTAATTCCAGCGTAGTGAAGATTGCTACGACAATAATTTACGTATATCATACTTTACTTATTAGCAACTATCATTAAAATAAATAAAATGTTTTCAGTTATATTTCTGTTATTCTCATTGTATAAGCCTACACACTATATTGATCTCAGCTTTATATTGACATATCAGTCGCATTCACATTAAACTATATCAATAACTATAATTAGATATAACACACCTGTATTTTTATAATTTTGTTTTTGTATGTATTTGTTGTTCTTTGTTTTTGTTTGAATTGTTTGTAACTTTTTTTTTATTTTTTGCAATCGACCATAAACTGTAATAAAACATGTTAAAATTGAATTGTTTTTTACTCTTATACCTTTACAGGCCTTGATTTTTGCAACTTACTTTAAACTTTCTCGTTATAATAAATCATGTTTAGAAACACTTGGCTTCTTCTTAAATTACTACTACTACTTACTACTACAACAACAACAACAACATAAATTGATTACATTTTACAACATAAAATCATAACATTCTTTGAAGGATATTAATGCAACATTGTCATGATAATGTAATGTTCTGAATGAATATACGAAAACTATATAATTAGGAATTTAAATTTATGCATTGCAGTACATGAATGAAGAGAACACCATACACTTACAAACTTGCTTGCATGATTTCAGTCAGCCATATTCCCTAGCCACGAATGATCAACTCCTGTTTCTTTGTCTAAAATCCACCCAAAATTATTCCCCTTTTAAATGAACTCAAAGAAGGGATCTTTTTAAAATACTTTGTATTTATTTATTCGATTTTTTTTCTAGAAACGGACAATTTTTTCATTACTCTTGTATAATTTGCTTTCTATCTATATATGGTTGCTATGGTAAACATATGAGTTTTGATGGTAAACAAGGGAATTTTCTAGACCGGAAGTAATCTAACACACAGCGTTCACCTGCTTACTTGCTGTCATCACATGTAAACAATACATTAAACCGCGAAGAATACTGAGATATTTGTTTGTCTATCAGTTCAAAATGCAAAATATTAATATGGAATAATGTGCATTGTTTTAATGTGTTTGGCCGATATTTTAGTTGTAAAAGCCATGTACACTTAGTGTCGATTCATAGCAACCAAGTTTAAAACGTAAACGGTAACTGAACGAGATATGGCAAAGCGCATGCTCGCGCACTGACTTCCGCTCTATCGAAATGCTGCATATACATATAGCGAAAGTTCGTAAGTGCCATTCTACCTCGCGGATACTCTATTTTGATTTTTTTGTACTGTTTCATGTTTTACTCAAAAATCAATCTAATAAATTCAAAGAATTATAGCTATTCACGTTCATTTTTTCATTTAAATCTTCAGTTATCAAGTTAAATGTTCAATTAAAAAAACCAACTACCAATTTTGAAGGAGTAAAGAATTCTAGGTCTAAAATATATGTATAAAAACATGACAGATAAAAAAGAAACTGGCTTCATTTCAAGACATGGTAAAATAATAATTAAAACTATTTCGTGATATGCGTAACACCCTTTTGTATTTGTTCTAACTTGCCTTAATAATAATAGTAATAATAATAATAATAATAATAATAATAATAATACATTAAATGTTTTTGTCCAAGAAAAAATTATTGTCCGCTATATTAAGACATGTGTGCCGCAGTTATATGTCGCAACGCCGAGAAATATTGCACATGCCGATAAATATCGCATCATTGCCACTAAATGTCACACATCTGCTAAATTCTACTCGGGTTCCCGTTCGTGCACGGAGGGGCACCAGATGTCTTCCTCCACCAGTAAAGCCGGAAAGTCGTAATACTGTGTTGGTATGGCGTCTTAATGTCTATAGACTAATTAGGACTTTGAATAAGAAGTTTTAAAAACTTATAATGAGAAATAAAACCCTAATTCGAAGTTACAAAGTTCAAAATACTGACAGACTGTTTTTGCTGCTGAATTTGTAAACTTTTAGTTTTTTAGAACTGACTATCAATATGGGAATATCAGAAATTTTATAGAAATTTCTAAAGTTAGTCAGTCATAAGTGCACGGCCGGTTCAGTTTGGACAGATGTGCATATCTTTATACTGGTAAATTTATTCCGGTTCCAGCAGTGTAAAGATGCCGTGTTGTTAACAGTATAAATTACAGTATAAAATCCGCTGTATAATGTTATTCTAATGTTCCATTTAAAATGAAATATTGTTAAACAAGCAATAATAACTTTTATAGACTATGAAATACGATTTTTTTTCCAAAACGGATTAAATTAAGGTTTATATTTATATTGCAGGGATTGACAAATATACAGTTTTTTTTTGGAATTACAAGGCATTTTGAGCTCTACACCCCAAATGTTTGTGGGTCATATTTGAATCGACAGCTTTTTTAGTATTCATTTGTTAGAGATTTAGTAAATAATGCATGAAATAAGTGATTTGTGTTTAGAGTTACGGTAAGTAACGTAACGGTTAATCATGAAAGGGGCGCCGCAATATGCAGACGCGATTGACAGAGTAAATATCAATGCAAGTTTGTATGTAGATAGAGCTATTATTTGTTTTGGGTGTTTGGGAAACCGATGTGGAATATAAAGTAAAAAGCGCACAAATTTGTGTTTATTTATCATACATTATTGATAAACATGACACTTTAAGGCTTGTAAAATTGCTAAAACAAAAACAAAAAAGCGAAATTCAACAATTATTGTCTTTGAAAGTATATTATTTCTGTAAATATCAAATTGTAATAGACGCTATTTAATTTCAGCCATCAATTTAATCTTCTGGATTGGCGTACGTCCTCTTTTACTGCAAAAGGAAAGATATTATCAGTGAAAGATTTTCTTTGGTTTCTAAAGAAATATTTTACAATTCATACATGCAAACATGTTTCTTGCATAAAAACGTTGAACGAAGGGCTACATTAACGGAGAAGAATACATGCGTTATCGGACGGATTCTTTTGACTATGCCACAATACACATTGTTCATTAATATTCTAGAAGATCTAAAAACAGTAATTAGGACAAATGATATGATTCAATTTTTCTTCTTCTTTTCATGACAACCACCTTATCATTAAAACATATGTGCTTGTTAAATGTATACCTTAAGTAACACATCTTCTTTTCATGACAACCACCTTATCATTAAAACATATGTGCTTGTTAAATGTATACCTTAAGTAACACATCACAGCTATAACTGAAAGGAGTATGAAGGCAAAGGCTCCTAAAACTGCTCCTATTATCCACAATGTTCCATTGTCTTCAGTTGCGACTGGTGTTAGGCAATCTGTAATGATTTTGCACAATACAAGCTACAATATACATGAAAACTGTATTTAAGGGGGTACATAAGTAACTTATTTCTGTTTTCTATACTTTTTGAGAGGCCATCTCCTGTTAAGGCACAAAAAAGCTTTGCAATTGAGTACGGACCCTGGGCATGGCACGATTTATGAGAGTTAACTTCCGTAAAATTCACGCATAGTAAAATGTAGAAGCTTCAAAGATAAATGTTTAGTTGAGAGGTCACATTACAACAGATAATGATCACTAAAACGTACAGTAACCTGTGAATATAATGGATGAGGCACGAGTAGCCCTGACAATGGCAATTTGTGTCAAACAAAGGGTCTGTCGTTCAAGCTGTCACTGCCAACAAGGGCCGCATGCATCCTTGTACCCTTCCTTGCCGTCCCTGCCTACATTGAAGTTTTTATTTATATTCTGCTGACTCACTGTGCCTCTAAACGACTTGCACAGACCGAACAAATGTTACACAGTAAATGATTTTTAAGGAAATCAAAATTAAGATAGAAGCAAACAAATGAGTAGAAGTATAAAAGGTATAAAAATTAGCATAATTTCAGCATAAAAGTAAATTTTTGAATAGTGGTGACCTTCTTTGCTTTGACAGAAGTTTGTGCCGCGGTTATCACCGAGTGTAAGTGGTAATTACTTTTTTTACACTGCTTTACATATTCAAACATTACTTCAATTTTTAAACGGTTTACATTAGTAACCACGCAACAGTTATCTTTTTATCAGGGGAAATCGGTAATTTTTACCTGGCCCATTCTCCCAATGTGAATAACCAAAGCTGCTTGTCTTGCAAATCTGACAGCCGACTTTATCGCCGGGATGAAAACATTTACCACCTTTCATGCAAAATCCAGTCTGAAAAAAAAAACAATATACCGGGTAAGTTGCTGTTTACCATTAAATAATAAAGATATTCAAATATAAAATAGCAATACTTTATACGAGATTTAGAAATTGACCTTTTTATTTTGTTGCTTTTTTATATTGGTTGGGTTTTAGGTTGCACCAACACATTAAAGGTCATATGGCGACAGTCAAGCTTTACTGATGAAGGAAGACCTCAGGTATTCTTCCTTTTATTTCTTTAGGCACGAACAGGCACCTGAGTAGAACCACCGACGTTCCGTTGGCTAGGTTGAGAGCGTCTTTACATGAAATAATCAAAGGTCTGTGACGGGATTCGAACCCACAACAATGAGGGGCAATTGGTTTGAAATAAAAGACCATAACCATTCGACCACGGACGTCAATTGTATTCACCTAAGGAAGAGTACCAACATTTTTAATTGATAGATCTCTCAATAATGTTGCAAAGATATTTTGAGGATAATTTGAAGAGTTGAAAAACTTTTATATGTTTCCTTAAAAAGTAGAACAGTGTGTGGTCGTCATAGTTTCAGATACAGACGTATGACACTATGTTAGTACTGGTGTTGTAAAATTGATAAATTATGTGTTCTGTGGTAGGATATTGCAAGGGTTAAAACAATTTTATATTAAATAACATTGATCAGATATCATTAATTGCTAAGATGCAGATCTGACTATACAAAGCTTCGGTGGAGAGTGTTTCATTATTTGCTGAAGACATAAAAGAAGTAACTGTTACTGTAAAAGATTCAAGAAATAGCCGTTGGTGTTTGTATGATTAGTGTCTTTTTCTCTCATATTCTGAATTCAAAACAAAGTCTGTATAATACATACTTTTGTAGTGCAGACTATTTTCCCATTTACTTTAGAACAATCGACGCATTGTGAATCAAATATAACAATACTGTCTTCGTCGCTGTATCCATTGCCGTCATTGCTTACAGATACACGGAACCCTCGAGATACAAAATCATCTGCAAGGTCAGCATTCTTGGAGCGTTTTACTCGTCCATTACTCAGAGGACAATATACCTCAAAGAGTGATTCAAAATACCCAGACGTTTCGACTGTTTCTGCCACTTCCACGTTGTTGTATCTGTCAATCTGCATTTGACACGATTAAAACCGTTACCCTTTTAACAATACAATCAAACAATTTTTCTTATGATAAATTTAATTATAAAACCTCAAGATACTTAAATTGCATTTTAAATTATTGAAGAGATAGATAAGTTGTATATTATATTTATATATATGAAAAGATTGAATATTACAATGGCGATTGAACAATTATTGATAATGACAAGTGTTTAGGATAAAATATGAAAACAGCCTTAAATAGATAATTACTGTTCCACTTCCATTATAAATGAACATAATCGATAATTTCTGAAAGAAATTCATAAATATTTATGTAGGTCTTAGTGGTGATTATTTATTCAGGTGACATTTATTATAAAATCGAAAGCAAATATCAAAAATTGGAAATTATTTTGAAATTTACATGAACACCAAACATCAAAGACGTCTAAAGACAAATTAACAAAAAAAAAAAAAAAAAAACCAACAAAAAAAAAACAACAAAAAAAACCAACAAAAAAAAAACAGGCAACATCTCCTTAGGGTGATTATACAGTAATCAAGTTGGAATACTGGAACCAACCAACAATAATATTGTGCTGAACGATATTCAAGGATCGAAAATATAACATTTTTGATTATATGTATGGGGCGAGTTAAATTAACCCTATTCTAAACCTACAAAATGACGCCGTGCACAATTCTCAAATTTCTAGTCAAACTAAATAATAAATTCTAAGAAAACGTACCATTACAACAATTTTATGTTTATTTAGTTTTAATATTGATGATTTTAATATCCACAAGGCCATAATGATACATATGTTTGACATTATATCGTTAAAATGTTGATTTATATGTTTTTCCCTTATAATTATGTCTGTGGTGTAAAAAAGAAGAATTATTATATGTTATGTTTATGAATTTCAGAATACAGAAGTAATTGGGAACAAATAATATGCAATCTAATTTAATTTATGTTTTTTATATTTTGATAAAAAAGAATCAACACTCAAAAATGTGTAAAACACAATCTGTACATATCTTTCTACAAGCGTAAACAATAATAATACCATTACAAAGTATACAAATTCTTACCGTAAACGATATAAGTCTACATTTGAGCGACTTGGTCTCAGCAAAATTGCGGCCAATCACAGAGGTTTCAGCACATTTCCTCTCATTCAAATCACACTTGCCTTTATCCGGGATTCCAAGCAAAACTGGTGGTTTTGTACCGTTTATCGAGCAATCAAAACTAGTGAATGGTATATCGCAGAAACAGGTTCCTGCAGCAAAAAAGACGCACACTATTCCTTTGCAATCTCATATTCTTGGTTATGCTTATTTCTTAATGTTAATCTTATGAAAATCGCACCATTCAATTTAGTTGTTTTTCCATATAATTATATTGCAGTATTGAGTAAAAAAATAGTACTAGTATTATATAAACATTAACCAGTACAAACTTCATTTTTAGCTACATAAATCTATATGCCGACTTAATTATAATTTAAGATTAACATAGATTCATAGCTACTGATACATCCCGCAGCGTATAGATGTATAAATATAAGAATTTAGTACCGTTCGTGCATTTTCCATGACCGGAACATTCATTCGGACAGGAATTAGCTTTTATATTGCTAAGTAGTTCTAGTGATATAGAAAGAAATCCGGAATTGCTAGATGTATTCGGTTGTGTATGTACTGGTACAGCTGAGGTAGTTTTCAAGCTACTGTCTGGCTTCGTTGTATTTGTGACATGATCCAACAATGGTAAGAGATCGGCCAATTCCTCTTCAGGTATTGGTTGCATTACATCAACGTGATTAATACATTTTGCCTTTATAGCTTCTAGATGCATGAGTGTCCAATTCATAGTATTGGTCAGCTACAAAAACAAAAGATGTATGAACATTCTAAATAATTAAACTGAAAATATTTCCGTCAAAACAAAAACGGAAATACATGGTGATAAAGAGGTTTCTGTATGTAAGCTTTTTTGTATACAAAGTATCAAACAATTGATATCAACTAGAACATTTTTTTAAATAATATATTTATTTACTGGGGATTTCTTTTTCGTGAGTTCTTCTTCTATTCTAATGAAGACATCAATTTCAAGCCAATTAAAGTTTTCTTAACAATATCTGTAAAAGGCGTTATTTATATCTAAATAATCTTAGGAATATACATATTAATGCATACGACAATTTTGAAGTGATTATTTAAAAGAGATGGTATTAAATCTACTCATGATATCGCATACTCGACTTGATTTGTTGAATCTTCGATGATTTGATTTTAAACAATTAAAACATTGTAATTTGATTTGATATTTAGCAAGATGTCCACAATTTAAGCATCACTGCCGAATTTCTTAAAATGTCTTTCTATTAATTGATAATATTAAGCAAGAGATATTTGTGTCACATGTATGCACATTTAATGAATCAAAGCACAGAAGGCGCTGAATTTGTTTGGGTCTCAGAATGTCAGAAAGGTGAAGGTTGTGAGATTATAAACCAATTTGTTTGTATAGTGTCACCAATGCTGTTTCCAGTGTTATAGCTATAGTAAATTGGCTATAAGACTAATTGCAACACTGATATTCAATTCAATGTTTATTTGGCTTAAACAATTAAATAATAAAATTAAAAAAAAACAAAAAAAAAAAAAAATGAGTTGCCTGAACTGGGATTTGAACTCCAGACCTCTCGCTTCCAAAGCGAGCGTGTAAACCCCTCGACCACGGGGAGTTATAAGATAACAGCCTGAAGAATACCATATTATTCTAAATTAGAGTTTGTTACCTATATTACCTGTTGTTTAACACTGAAGCTGAATAAAAGCATGTATATCTATAAGAATAACACAATATTAGAAATCTTCGACCAATCGGGAACTATTTTTTCGTTACGAAAATTAATGCGCCTGTCATTTGACAATCTTTACGCAGTGATCTCCCCTTAATTTTTCGGCGTTAATGTACATATGAAGGGAAGTAACCGCTTTGAGGAGTTTGGACTACTTTCGGCATTTGCAAATAAGAACATCAGGGTCTGAAATTTTGCTATCATTATTTGTTTTGTCTGACGACCCAAACAAATAAAAACTACTAGTATTAATTGTGTATCATGGGTTTTCGAACTGTTTGTTTCGTCATGACCTACAGGACAGTCCTTACTCACCACCCGATTTACGTCATCGTCTCGATACCCAGTTTTTTAGACCAAACTTATAAAATGTCATTTATATCCCTGTCTAGTCTTATCTTAAAAAACTAAAAGGCTTTGTTAACTTTTGCAGAATGTTAAAGGTTCAAGGTCTCAAATTTGACTAGAACCTTTGTTTCTGAAACCCCTTTAGATTATTAAGACATTTAGACGTAAAATAATACGTTTCAGAAAGATCCTTAATATTCCTTTACTTACATTAGAATGGCCAATGAGATGTTTGTAATTTTAGAGTGACCAATAGAAATTCTACCTACATTCAGTTTTCCCACTGCATATTTTGCAGGAAGTCAAACTCTTCTCAGACAGACTTGGTCCAAAAAATAAAGAAAACTCTAGCAATTCTATGGCCGAAACAAACACCGCGGTAATTACATGAAGCAAAATATTAAAAAGTAAATCAAATTAACAAAAATATTGCGTACTGTTTTTGACACATTATTTTTCAATCTTCATTATAATATTTCAATGATAGTGGTTAGTTTTCAAGACCATTCGTATGGCGATCCGGCTAGAGTAGTGAAGACGATTTTTGAGCTTTGTCGATATGTTTTAATTTATACAATAACGCGTATATTGCATTTTTGGTTTTGATATTTGTTATACCTGGGGTATTGCCAAACTATTCGTGTCATATAACGCTGAAATTAGCAGACAAAATGTGACAGAAACCTTTTTAACGAGGCAATGCCGATTTCGTGAATGATGCACCGCCGGTTACTCCACAAAAAGTATTCCATATGCTTCTGTTTATTATTATATGACACTAGTAATTTTGCAAATGTCTAAGGTATACCAAATATCAAAACAATGCGTTTATTTACTTAATTGCAATGACATAAAACGAACATCGCCTTTAGAACGGTAGTCAGGTCGTTTTTTAATGAATTATCTCTAAAACTAAATATATTCCTGGAAATATTTGTAATCCTGGCTTAAGTATTATGCCATAGCAGCCGTGTGAGCTTATTCATTTTCTTTAATTGATAAAAAAATTTGGTCTATTTACTTACCATGTTACTCCGTTTCGGCCATAGTTTTGCACAGATTCGATGTTACTTTTGTACTATTTCTACGCCTTTTTCACAGTTCTGCGTTACTGGATATACACGGTGGTAATAATCGGCATCCACACCAAATCTATGGACTTCAATGCGTTTAATTTAGTTATTGGTCGGACATTTCTTTTACCCATCATGTAACCGACGGCATGCACTTTTTTCTGAGGATGGGAGTCATTATAGAGACAAAGTTATCACTTACCATAGCATCGGCAATGCAAATCTCAATAAGATTGTTAAAATCTAGGCCAGGTATTTTCTTGCATGTTCTAAATGTAGAAGTATTCATCATTTTAAGGCAATCCAGTCTGGCCGTTACATTGTTGTAAACAAAACGCCTCCCTCTTTTTAAAAGCAATACTGAAACCTAAACATAGGCAAACATTATTTAGCAAGTTATTAAAGTGACATTATGCCTATCAAAGTAAACAAGTGAAAGTCAAGATAAGTTTACATTTTGCCAGCATTCCTTTGAGTTTTATTATTTACATTATATGAACAATAAATATTAGATAATCCACATGGCCTTAAGAAATGTCTGTAAATATGCATCGGAATTTACCTGTAACGTTCAATTTATAAAAATGGGTCAGTCTTTTTACATTTTAGGCAGAATTATATTTTATCCTAAACAGTTTCAACCATCATCTGTTGGCCAATCACCGCTATAACATACAATCATTTTGAAATATTAAGTTAATTCAGCTTAAGTTGACCATGGAAAAAGGCATAATGTCACTTTAGAGCAGCATGCCTCCAGATTCATGCTATTCAAGAAAATTTTGAAAATGTATTTTAAAGTAAAATATTGTGAAGTGAACATTAAAAAAAATTTACACATTGCAAACGGCACTTACAATCCAGGTAAATTACCAAAAAAGAGGTCAAAATATACATAAATATCTCTTACTGCGTTAGTAACGGAATAAATTTATAGTGATTGATACTGCGAAATCAGTATTTAATCGCACATAGCATCTAAATAATTAATTGAATATTGAATCGTTTTACTTTTCTTATGATCTTAATACATTTTTCTAAAGATTGAATTTCTTGAACTATTTTGGCTCATCTGGAGGCATGCAGCTTTAACAATGATCTGTCGTTTATAAATCTAAATGCATATAAATAAAAAAAAAACATCCATACTCAACTTGTGCAAAGACAAAACATTTCTGTTTAATATTTTTATTTTATTTTAGTAACTATCTTCTTATTATATTTTTTCTGTCACTTTATTTAAAAAGCATAGGTTTTTGATTTGATTACAAACAAACAAACAAACAAACAAACAAACAAACAACATACTTCAGGATACGGTTGGTCATTTTTAAAGTCTTTCGTTGGAAAATAGCTGGTAGCGGCATTTTCATAGTGATCCGATAAAATCTTGTCAGTAGAACGTTTTCGCCTCTTTTCTAGGTACAAATCACAGGTATGTTTCACAGTATCGAGTTTCCTGTCTTCCGGACATAAAATCTTTCTAGAAGGATCACACATAACTGCAGGATTGAGTGGATCTGAGTAACTTCTTGACGTATCCCTTACACAGCTACATAGGTACCTACTTTCTTTCCAATGTTCCAACTTTTGATAATTGTGTTTATCAAACAAATTTTCACCAGCCGTTTCGTTAACACTAAAATATAAACAAAAAAGAAGTTATGACTAAGTTCTGCAATAATTGTCTTTTCCTCTTTCGGCATAATATTCCAACTCTTAACGTATTGGACACAGTTTAAAAAAGCGTAGGGGAATGAGAGATCATGCGTGTATTCATTTTCCAAAAACATAAAACAAAACAAAAAAACAAAGCAAACACACACACGCACACACGCACACGAGCACGCACACACACATACACACACAAAAACAATAAAAAACGACAACAACATAAAAAGAACAAATAAACAAAAAACAACAAAAGAAAAAAAAACAACAAACAAAGTCCGTTATTTTCCATATGCCTTTTTTGTTTCCACTATCCTTGACTCATCACGTTTTTTTCAGATAATAATAGACCAGATTAAAACATATTGAAATTCATAGATAATATAAAGAAATTAAAATACAAAACAAAATATAATTGTAATACGCCGGCAAGAATTCGTGATTACATATGAAAACATTTTTATATTCAGCATACCATCGTTGTGTGATAACACAAATACAACACAGCGAAACAGTAGCCTAAATACTGCATCAATAGTACAAATACATGTGTGTATGTTAATACAAGTTTTATTGAATTCATTAAACCTACAATAGTATGTATAGCCTTAATGTACTTTTAATTCTTTATATACCTAAATGAAACAAATACCTTCTTGCAAGTTAGTTTTCTAATACATTAAAATATTGAAACCTGGTACTTATCTAGACACTAAACATTGCAAACCATCGATTAGCGAGGTCCAACTTATCGGTAAAATATTGAAACGAAAACAGAATGTACTCATACTAACGTATAACTGTTAAGTGAATTTTAAGTTAAAAGATACTTGAACACAATGGAGATGTTTCTAAATTAACCATCAGTAAAGTTCAAATGTTATACGTCGACCAGTGCTAGAAGTTATGAGCAGTAGCTAAGATTATCCATCGGCTCAAATACACAGACTCAATTAGACGCAGCTTCAAACAAGTTCAGCTATCCTTTTTGGTTTTCATTTCAATTTTCGTACGAACAAATTTATGAATTCTGAACGTCTTAAGAACCATTACATCTGTTATTTACAGTATTATTTTGTAATAACGATGGTAAGAGATCAACCAATTCTTCTTCATAATAATTTTCTACATTGTTATTCATGGACTTTCACAATCTAAACAAAAAAGCGTAAAAAGACATTTACTTAATGCAACCAAGTATTATTTTATAGAGGATATTGAATGAGTGTAAGTTCAATACTGAATTTATTGCACGAGTTGAATAAAATTATATTATGCGAGCCTCTGGCGAGCATAATATTATTTTATTCAACGAGTGCAATAAATTCAGTAATGAACTTACACGAATTTAATATTCTATTTATCACATACCCAAATTGAAACCGTTTAAAGTGAAATAAGAATCATTTTTCATTGACGCGCCTATAGTATAACGCTAACATTTAGCGCGTCTTTACACTATGCTTGTATAACGCTTATGACGTCACGTCAAAATATATGCACGGCCGTGCAATACCATATTTACGGAGTCGCAAAATCGGCACGGGTGTGTGATAAATATAAATAATAAACATTTATCTTGAATGTTCAGTACTTTATAAATTGATAATCTGTGCATTTTACAGATGGTTGCAACAATTTAAGGCAATATTAAAGTTCATGTGCATGTATATTGAAAATGAACTAAGATATAAACAAAATAAAAATATCATAGCATACATCCAACTCTCAGAACTATCCCTTGCTTTTGAATTTGTCCGCACTGCATTATCATTTGCTTTGTTGTCATCGAATGATCCACAGAGACCTTCTGTCTTTCCAAAATCTACTAAAGACGGTTTTATTTGTACATTTATAAATTGCCCGTCGTTTTCAAGTTCGACGATACCACCGGAAGGCAAAAAGATCTGGAAAATTTAATTTGAACAAAAGATGCAAAACAACTTACACCTACAATCGATTCATTATTACTATCTAGTTTTACTTGATCTGACAGTGTCGTGGAAATAAGTGGAGTTCATAATAACCATATGTTAATGTTGCAGTTTTTATTCAACACTTTAACACTTTGTTCCAAAATTCAATCCTTACATATTGCAAACGTTGCAAGAGAGGTATTTAAGTTACATTCAATATAAGGCTGCATTAAATATTTAAAAATACCTTATGTTTGTTCTGCAATCTTTTTACACTTCGTGATAAAATTCCATCTTCACATATTGCAAACCTTGCCGGAATAATATAGTTGTCTTTGCAGTAATCGGAGATGAATAAATCTTTTCCTGCGCGAACTGCTACGGCACAATTACACCACGGACGCCAGTTTGTATTGTCCCATTTTGAACAGCGTTTGGTTTTAGTTTGTACCTTCAATTAAAGTGGACCACCTTCTTTGAACATATATCACGAATAAATCAATACAACAATTTGACCCATATATTAAACAATATATAGGTTTTTGCAGCTATTCAAAGGTCTTAAATAATATTACTGAAAATAAAAACTGTTGTTTTGACTTCTTAATTAATCTCGGTATATCTAGCGTTCATCCGCTTAACATTTTGCATCACAAGAAAATTCTTATGAAATACATGAAATCGAATCAATATGTTTTTGATAGGAAGTTTGAAGGTGACAATCATACTATTATGGTAATTAATTTGTGTCATGTCTCTTTTTTCGCTCCGCGGGGCGACTAAACGAACACACGAAACAACGACAAAGTCAACATTTTGTTTTACTTTCGCTCCGCGAGGAGCCATACGAAAACACTATGATGCGACAGTTACCATTCTATAGTACGTTCGCTTTTCACTTTAGGATGCACCCCAAGAAAACACCTGGCTCCCGGTGAAGCGAAATTACGACAAAGTCTTCAAGGCGAAGTAAAAATACGACATGGCACAAATTAGCCACCGTCTAGAATTCGTTTAATTTTTATATTGAATGTACCATATCATTTTTTTCTAAATGTGATTGTGTATTACCTCAATAGCTAGCTCTTTGTGTTTGTACATTATAAAAGTACCCGCTCGTTGATTATCATACTTCCTGAAATATAATATGTGCTTTTAAAATATTCATATCAATACAAAAGGGCCGAGTGGTTCACGCGTCGGACTTGTATTCTATGGATCGCAAACAGTGCGGTTTAAAACTTTATTAGGGGCAAACGCTTGTTTCCCAAAGTGAGAAGCTTTACACACATTGTTCAAAACTGGTTGGTTCCAGGAACGGATTCAAAAGTGTGTCTATAAGCTTAAAGCTTCTTACACAATCGAAATTCTGTATAAACCAAAAGGACCATTTAAGTGTATTAAGATTTGAATATGCTGGCATAGGTTTACAAAATAATTGTTTCAATTTTGAAAAAGAATAGTTCTAAATTGTATTTTAAATACTGTTTTTAAAGTTCACAAGATGAAATAAAATTAAATCTTACACAACAAACAAACAAATTTTCTTTTTATTTTATGCTTAAAGACAAGTTAAACGAAATTTCCTTAATATTAACGTTAATCTATTTTCCCCATTGGGAGCCTCATTTAGTCAAATTTCTCATTAAATACAAGAAGGCTTTGGCTGACAATCAACGTAAAATGACGCTGATATTATTCATTTTATAAAAAAATATGAATGATCGCTTGTTTTAATAATAAAAAACAAACAAATCTAGTAGGAGAAAAGGTCCAACCATCCTTCCATATTTCTGTTACTTTCTGTAAATTTATATTAGACCTGTCTTTGTAAATCACGGTGGTTAAATGTAAGCGGCCGCCATTTAATAAAGTTGTGTATTTCATGGGAGGAAGATAATTGTGTTTGATTCAGAGAATTATCATTTGTATTTGTTAGTCATACACCTTTTTAAAAGAAAGAAAACTTATTTGAGGATTGTAACAGACAATAAATAACTGTTTATTTATTGGCTGGTTACTGTCATTTCATGCCTTCGACCCTCAAAAGTCGAAGACACGATGGTATGCTCACTCGCCTTTGACTCTTGAGGGCGCGTAAAAATCTTAGTATCGGTACCCTATATGTATTGTGTCGTCGTGAGGCCACGATAAATAGCCAATTTATCGAGCATTAGACTTTCGGGACAAAGACATGAAGTCCTGATAAATTGGTCAATTATCGTGTCTTCGAATTTCGCATTTTAAGGCGAACACACAAAATATATCGTGTCTTCGTGTCGGCGTCCTGGAAAGACGACGACAAGTGAGCGTACAAATCCCAAAAGTTCAACTAACCTTCCATCAAATGTTAACATGTGGGGGTCACTTCTTGAGTAGCATTCCTTTCCTTGTAGTTTTGTTTGATTTATATCCAGTTCAACCTGTGAATGTTCGATAGAAATTTATATCGTACATGAAAATTATCAAATATACTACCAAAGATATTGTAGTGTGTCATTTTATAACAAAAAAAAAGACGACATTGGATTTCGTAAACAACAGTTCCCATTTTAAAGCAAGAGTCACATTTATAGCTTTAATTTAAATTGTTTATACAAGTTTAAGAGATTTGGATACAAAATTCAAATAAATACAAAAATAAGTTCTTCTACTGCCTCTTGTGCCCAGCGCTATGTATTTTGAATCATTAAGCAAAAATAAATTGACCAAGCTCCAAAGTGAGAACAAGAATATCGCTCAAATTTTTCCCGAAGTTGAACATTTGTAAATGTATTTAATGCACTTAGTAAAAAAGGTTGTTATCTAAATATACGTTCTGCATCCGTGACCTTGGTCCTAGTGATCTCTTACTCCATCAAAAGTTAAAGAAGAACACAAGGTATCTCAAGTATAGAAGACATCAGTAAATTGATAAAAGCTGCATGAGCAATTGCAAAATATATTTTTATTGGTCGCGTTATATTGACCTTGGCCAAAATGACCACCACCTATCTTCCGCCAAAAGTTAGTTGCAATATCGACCAACACATACTAAATACGAAAGACATGAATGTTTGTCTGAATAAGCAAAAGTTAGAAAGAAATTTTAAGCACAAATCACCTTTAGAATGACCCGATCGGTCATAGTTACAAACCCCCCGAGATAAGGTCAAAACAATTATGAAAGAGATCAATGAATACAAACTACAGATCATAAACAAAGGTGTACCAAGCACCATTAAGTATTATAAAGTATTATCAAACAAGCTAGCATTATAAATTTTGTAAAAACGTTCAGACGTTGTACTCTAGACAAACATTATTATCTTGCTCAGTTAAATGAAAAATTCATATTATTTCACAACACCAATACCATAGCTATTATAATATAATATTATTTCACAACATCCCTAACATAGCAATTATAATATAACATTATTTCACAACACCACTACCATAGCTATTAAAATATAACATTATTTCACAACACCACTAACATACTGTAGCTATCAAAGTTCGCCAAAAATAGATTGCAATATAAAACTACTGTAACTATCAAAGTATTCAAGCTACCTCAGTTCTACAAAAAGTTTTTCAATATACCATAAACAAATTGCTTCAATAAAAGTTATCATAACATCAGTACATATGTTATTTCTATATCGCATTACAATTCCACTTATTATTTGTACCATACTATCTTCGAAAAATAATCAAATAGTCATTTTTATGTATAATGAAACAGACTTACTCGTACTGAAGCTGCTTGATAATTTGCGAAAAAACTGTGATCATGTTTAGTTCCGGTAACGAACACAACATCATATACCAAGCCCGATTGAAGCACTTGGCTCTTGCCGAATGTTGCTGTTATTGTAAAGGGTTTCAAACTGCCCTTTTCATAATCTTCTTTATAAAATCGGACACCACAAAAAATGCCTTCACTGTGGACACTATGACTAACTCTGTGGATTAGACAAGAATCGCGCGTTTTTGGAATGTATGTATTTACATCTAAAAAACATTCTCCATGTGGACATCCAAACGGAATGGTTAATTTTAGAAATATTGTTTTCGTCTCACTGTCCTTTAAACGCACTGAGGATATATTAGCGACCTGAAATATAAGATTTAAAAAAAATATATTTTTCTATATTCATAGATTGCTTTAAAATTCAACTTAAAAGACAAAGATGTATATACAGGTATACATTTAGACAAATAAATATGCTTGTTATTATAAATAGCCACACATATGCCTGTGATTTCAACAGATCAGATTAGATAGAAGTAATAATAAAAAAAACTTTTCAAAACGTTTCCATATTTCTGTGGTTAAAATTCCTGTATCTGTACCTAACAATAACTTACACAGGGCTGTCTTCCTCTAATGTACATACGAAGTCTACTTGAATCATATTTTCGCGGAATAAAATTATCGTATGTGTCTTTATAAATTCCAACAAAATTGTGTTACTACAAATAACGATTGCTGGCGGCATCCATTTTTGCGTATCGAATTTAATTAATCTCATTTACAGCCTTAATTCATTGGAATCAGTCTACAAACATTGAAATGCATATTCTTCACTTCAAAATACGACATTACTCAAACGAAAAGTAGTAAATTGTTTATTGTTTTGTGAACAGCGAATTCGAAAATAAGTGACAGTAAACATTTATAATAGCTACAATGCTGTAACATTTGGAAAGGATTATTGTTTTTAGGATAGTATATCTGGCCAACATTTTTTTTTACTCATTTCGTTGTAAAACAATTGGGGCATTAACAGTCCAGGTCATTGCTCAATTATTTTCAGATATGATAATTCGTCTAGAGGTCTGTCCCAGGCACGCTTATTCTCATTATGGCAAAGTTGCGCAACAAGAGGTCGCAAACTTAAAGTTCTATTTTTAGAAAAGATATAAGATTTTATATGCTTTGCCTAAAATTATACAGGTTGCATGTACTTGGTTGAAATGTTATATAAAAGGGATTTTCTCAGTTTATTTATCATTATCTGCTGTTGACAAGTTTATAGAATAGTTAATCAAAAGTTAGCGTATACCAAGTTGCACTGTTTTTTTTACAAAATTGAAATGACTTCTTCAGCGACAAATGACTGCAAATCAAAACATGCAAAAGGTCAGATATCAATGTACAATCAAAATCAAGTTCATCGTTGATTAAGTTTTTTTTTCAAAGTGGAGCTTGAATGTAGTAAATAAGCTTCGGACCCTTTTTCAACAATTCATGTTTGTATTGATTACTTTATCACTTATTGAGTATCTGTATCCTGCGAATTTGTAAGATGCAATGTTGAACAAATGTATGCTATTGAGTTAACATTCATATTTATGTATTTTTTACTGCACATGTTTGTATTGCACAACAGGCTGTATACCTGAATCACTTGTGCACCATTTTGAATATTGTTGAGGCACGTCAGCATGCGCAACATTCAGGTCGTCCAAGGAGTCGTCCAGACTAATTTCCGCCAGTGGGTCACTCGCCAGTCCAGTTTTTCCCATAAATATTGCTAGCTGCATGCGCTTTTTGTTGGGGTTCTTTGAGTTTATTGGAGTTGAAGAGTGGTTGTTGAGTTGAGTTGTTATAGTTTAAGTGTTAAATTTGCTTTTAGACTGTTGCTAGTATATAAGTATGATGCCTATTATTATTTTAATTGATTTTATACTCATGCTTTAAATTGAACTTAATCTATCCAGGCATAGGGTTCAAAATGATAGATATTTTCAGCGAAAACGTGTTTAGACAAATTTCTGTTAAAACAGAGTAATTTCGTAACAATATCGCCAAGCACTATTTTATGACCTAATGAACCGTGTATGGAAATGTTGCTGCTTCTTTAACTTCGGAACACCTCGCCGATTACTCGAATCTGAGAGACTGGCGGAAATAGCCGATATGTTGCTTCTGTTCGCTGGTGCCATTCGACAAATTAGAAGTTCTTACTTTCCTGTCATTTGAACAATTTTATAAATCTGCTACAGCTTTAAAAAGACCTCTCGCATGCTTCCTTTTACAGAAGATTTTAGCGACCCGTTATTGTACCTGTATTCCAAAAAACCTTGCGGCGCTGTTTCTTGAATGACTGTACATGCCGTCAGAACCATTTCTTGCCTTGACTGTACATCCAAGCTAAAAGTGGATAAATCATAATACCTTTCTTTTATTTTTTTAATTCTAAGGTAGAATTTTGACATGTCATTAGATACGTAACAGTTTAGAAAAATTGCAATAAAGTAAATACTATTTATTCCAAAAATAGACAGTAAAATACATAAAACTTTACCGTAAATCCTGGTGTATTGATATTGTTTGACTTTAAATGGTGCTCTTTAAGTGATGTCTTGCTTCTGAAATCTGTTTGACCAAAATATCTGACGGAAGCTGTTTTGTATAGTGACCCGATTAACGATGTGCCGCTAAACAAACTCCACTCGACGACATATTGAAGATCTGTTCCTTTAGGCGGTAAAATATCGCAGTAGAATTCTAGAGAGACCTTGTATTTCTTAACAACCTCGACATTGACTATTGGATTAACACTAGATATATCAGGAGGACCACTGCCTAAAATTACAAGTGACTGCTATAAATGAGTTTTTAAGATGCTTGCAGATTAGATATGAGTGATATTTTACTTGTGTTTGATAGTTTAAAGTAGAAAAGATATGTTTATAACATTTACACTCAAGTTGGTTTTAAGAAAATAAATCTTACGACGTGAAAAACATTTGTGCTTCAGAAAATGAGAGAATATTAAAATTCAATGCACAGCTTAATTACATCTATTTTTGGCATTAATGTTGTCACAATGGTAGAGATGATGTCCTAAATCGTATTTGTTTTAAGGACTTGTAATAAAAGGAGTCACGTTTTTATAAATAGCAATTTATGAAGAAACATACCACTTTTCACATTGCCATCTATAGGTTCTGCAAAACAAACAATGTTCTTTTTCATCAAAAGTGAATAGTTTACATATATTTACAAGTGCTGGCATATCACTCAAATTATTAAAACTGATAAGCCATAGATAAATGAAGTGTAATACAAATATATTTAACTATCTATGAAGACTCACCTGTTTGTTAGCAAATCGATCTGTATGAATGTATTGCCAATAAAAAGTAAATACACAAAAAATACGCAGATAGGACATTTTAAAATGATTAAAACACACAAGGACCAACAATATACACACAATAAAAAGAACACATTTGAAACTCTATTAGATCTCCTTCCTTTTAAAATTTCATTTCATTTAGGTTTGCACACTGTTTTCTCGTTTAGGGCACAAGCAATCTTTTTCTTATGTTCCATCAGATGCGTTTCATGGTATTGCACTTACGTGTCGCATTGAACCATTAATGAAAACCGTCTTAAGTGACGGGACAGTAGATTGCACTTTCAACTACCGTCTAAAAACATTCTTAATAAAACCAAGTCTGCAACTTATTTAATTATGACGTTTTTTCACTATGTCAAGGGCAATAACTCTTAAAAACCAGAAAAAAATGAAGTGAGACCCTAAGTGCACAACTTCATATCCTGAGCACTATTCCTGTAAAGTTTCATGACTCTTGGTCAAACACTTTTTTTTAGCTATGTGCGACAAAAGTTGACGATTGCAAAATTTTACTAAGTCAAGGCAAAATAACTAGACCAGTACTAAAATCATCCACACAAAAATACCCAGGTGCACAACTACACATGCTGATCAACATTCCTGTAAGGTTTCATGACCCTAGGTCAAATATTTATTGAGCTACATGCGACACAAATTGGAAATTGCAAATTTTTACTAAGTCAAGGACAATAACAAAACATAATAAATCCACAAGGGAAACCCCATATGCACAACTACACATGCTGAGTAACATTCCCTTCAAATTTCGTTGTACAATACACATTGATAAAATGGTCATTTTTGTTATAACAGGTCCAGTAACATTGTCCCCTTTGACCTAAAAATATGTGTTACTGGAAAACCTTACCAAGCTACAACTTCAGACAAAGTTTTAAATTTTTTTTTCAATTTTAATTGTGATAAAACGATCAGTTTGTTTTGCTATAGGTCCAATTGGACTCGACTTTCCATAATTGACGTGAAAATGAATTTGGTCGAGTGTAACAAGGTACCTCTTCGTACAAATTTTAAAGTTCCTTGTCTAGCAGGAAGTATTCTTCATGTCAAGTAGAGATCCGGCTGGTTTACGAATGGTCGGTGGTTCTACTAAGGCATAAGCATATCCTTATAATAATGCACGTAGTAGAACCTAGAATCTTAATATACAAGTAAAGATAGATAAAAACAACAAAAAATAAATGAAATGCTAACGTATACAATAAGCTTCTGAGCAGGCTGTAGTTGGTGAAAGATGAAAAACGTAGCCTTTGCTACATTTTTTTGCTTGAATCGTTGTTTTCTCTGAACATGTTTTTCCGGGACCTTCGTTTAGGCATACTTCAACATCTTTAGTGCCATTTTTAGGTAATTTATCTGAAAAGAGTGAAACAGTTCAATGCTTTGTCCGGAGTATCACATGAATACACTTGTAGAATGTATCTTTGTTTCACAATGTATAAGAGTTTTGCAAGATTACAATTTTGTATAGCATAGTTCAATAACAAAATTTGTAAATACTTCTTGTTCTCTATATTCATTGACCACTGACATAAACTCTCATACAAATACTAAGCGAACGTAATCTGAAAAATTATGATTTAAGTTTCTTTACAAACACTCTATATTATGAAACAAAACGCATATCATTACCAGTGTGGAGATGGGAAACTTAATCTGTTGTTCCTGATCCAATTATTTTTCCAATCTCTTGCATCAATTACCTTTGTATGTTATTTTATGGTACCTTTTGTCTGTGTTTACAAATAAACTACGCACATAGAAGAAACCTTGCTACTGGTTTTGCTACTGTTTCTATGCATTGTTTATATTGTCAATGGAATAATTTTCCGGGACCAGTATTTGACAATAGCCTTCCCGAGTATAAAATACGAAAATTCGAAAAACAAGATCAACAAAGAAGGATGGCATTCAATGAATGCATCCCATTTCACGTAGAACGGCTAACAGCATAATTACTACTAGGGTGTTTAAACCGTTTTTTATTTAGATAATGCGACATTTGGTTACATTGATATTATAGATAATCGATGTACGCAAAACAAATAGAGTTTGTGTACTTAAATAAATGATAAAGTATCAACATCCCCCGTCAAAGGGAAGTTGAATCAAACTAATTCTTTCAAAATAGAGAAAAACAGAATCCCTAAAGTTTGAGGTATGGATCTCGATAGAGACACTATTTAGCTTTGATATGCAATTGTGACCATCACCTTGATGCTAATGCCTATGTGTTGCGCATGACACATTGTTTTGATATGATGATTTTTTGTACAAACTTATTTTAAATACAATTTAAATACCTTTGATAATAGAAAGTTTGTGAACCGGGAGCAAAGCAAGCCTATAATAAACAATGTTAAGCTTAGAGATTTACCTTGGATGTAGGGGTATGGATGTTGACACGCCATATATGGTTAACATATATGACAAGTTATTTCAAATGGAGAAAACTTGAATCCCAAAAGAAAGATCAACATGGCAAAACTGGAACCACCCAAGTTGAAAAGGGCCAAATACAAGAAACTAAAAATACCATCTAAAATGTATACACAACAATAATGTCGTGCTGAAAGATCTTAAGAGTCAAAATATTACGTCACTGATTAAATGTACGGGGCGCCACACGGCACAAATAACACATACGTGACAATGAAAGTGAGTAAAGCAGAATCCCTAAAGAAAGCCCAACACAGCAAATTTGTAAATGTTGCAGGCTCGGTTTGATTGAGCCTGTTCATGGATGGAACTGGAAAGTGCAAGTTACCGTCCACGCCCTCTAGCACCGACTTAAGCAGAATTATACACAAAAATGGTGAAATTTTGAATTTAGAAACATCCGCACATGTGTTCATACGGCGGTTATCATGGAACCTTCAATGAGACACAGTAGTGTCATTCCATGAAAAGCGGCGTATGGTCCCCAAGTAAAAGATGGTGTGCCCAAAACGAGAAAACAATGGGCGGAACTAAATAAAATGGATTTTTAAAGGGGATCTGAGGTTATGAAACCTGCATATCACAGACAAGGCGCCAAAAGACAAATATAAAAAGCAGGCAACTCACCTAAGGGTGATTATACAGTAATCAAGTAGGAATACTGGAACCACCCAAGTTGAAAAAGGCCAAATACAAGAAACTAAAAATACCATCTAAAATGTATGCACAACAATAATGTCGTGCTGCAAAAATATAACATCATTGATTAAATGTACTTTTTACAGCCGCCAAATCCTATCATAGAGGAAACAGTTTATGGACCGGACGCAAAGCAGGCGCCTTTCCTTGTTGATCTTGTTTACCATATTTTATAAGAGATCACGTTAAGATTGAACTTTTACGGTTGACATTATTCTTGGAAGCCGTGGTCTTGGTGCTGGGCATGACATGTCTTATTATGGTGAATGTTTGTGCTAAGTGATTCAATACCCCTGGATGAAAAAAAAAGCTATGAACAGGACTCTGATTATTTCACGGCGTCTCAACGCCGTGATATTGTGATGGGTAGTTTTCGGTAGCATGGGCAAAAGTCACGTGACAAAAACCTTTCGATTTCTACAGCCGACATTTTATTGTTTTTACGTAATCATTGTACAGCCCATTTCCGTGAAAAGTTACATAGAAACAGTTTTTTTTTCAAAACCATATAGAATCTAAACAGTATTTTTATCAACACACAAAATATCAGCGTTTTATATTAACACATTTCCGGACATCCTTTCGACATGCTTGAGAAATTCGCCTTGAATGGATTATGTATGGTGGCTGATTAACGCCATCCAAATATTTTCGCGTCTTCGCCTCAAAATGCGAAAACACAAAGGGACGACATATTTTGACTAATGTGTTCTCATGTCAGATCTATGTCTCTCTCGGAGTGAATCTTTTCACATGTAAAATGTCTTTGAACATTACATTCCTAAGTTTCTATATTTGCAATTAAGAACTTAAATTGTCTTCTTTTTTAGCTCACCAGAGCCGAAGGCTCAGGGTGAGCTATTAGTATCAAAGGGGGATACTCCGGCGTCCGTCGTCCGTCGTCATGCGTCAACAATCATCTTCTTCTCTGAAACTGCTGGGCAGATTTAACTAAAATTTGGTCTGTAGCATCCTTGTGATAGTCACACTTAAATTTGCTCATGTCATTTCAATTGGCCCCTTTTAGGGTTCAGCAGAGCTAAAAATAGAAAAACCTTTAAACATCTTCTACTACAGAACTAATGGATGGATGATCACCAAACTTTGTCTGTAGCATCCTTAGGTAGTCTTTTATCAAGTTTGCTCATATTAATTTGATTGGCACTAGGGCTAAAAATGGAAAAACCTTTAGACAATTCTTCTACAGAACCAATTGATGGATGATCACCAAACTTTGTCTGTAGCATTCTTGGGTAGTCTTTTATCAAGTTTGCTCATATTAATTTGATTGGCCCCTTGTAGGGGCTGCTATAGCTAAAAATAGAAATACCTATAAACGTCTTCTTCTACAGAACTAATTGATGGATGATCACCAAACTTTGTCTGTAGCATCCTTAGGTAGTCTTTTATCAAGTTTGCTCATATTAATTTGATTGGCCCCTTTTAGGGGTCACTATGGCTTAAAATAGAAAACCTTTAGACATTTTCTTCTACAGAACCAATTGATGGATGATCACCAAACTTTGTCTGTAGCATTCTTGGGTAGTCTTTAATCAAGTTTGCTCATATTAGTTTGATTGGTCCTGTTAAAGCTAAAGCTTAAATGCACTAGCATTTCTTTAAATTAAAGTTTAAAGATATTCTAAGCTCTAATTTTAATATAAAAAAAAATATTGACAATGGATACACAGTCTCCTTATAAATATAAATATGAAATACACGTGTTTTGACTTCACACAAAGTAGATATGTTATGTTTTAAACTCTTAACACTATTCGTGGTCACAGTATAAATATAATGATAGTGTCATTACAAAAACTTTTTTTTTCTTTTTTTTATAGAAAAGACCATCTTTACATTGCCTCTAATAGCATATGCAGTTTCCTGTACATAGTATATTCATTCTTTTATCCAAATAAGACATTTTCAGCAAGAATTTCATAAATTTCATTGGCTTGGGTCATGACCTGTTTATGATGTGTACATATATTTCAGCTCTGGAATTCGGACTACTGCATCATTGTAAGGTCAGTTGTAGGTCATTAACCAGGAAAAAAATAGGCCTAAAGAAACATAAAATTTGTTTCTCCTGTACTTTACTATCAAAGATGAGTTTATCTGCTCAATTCTCTTATTGAATTTTGTAAAAAATTGTAATTTTTTCATTTTTTGTTGTTGAATTAACAAGGGACAAGGGGTTTAATTTCTGTTTCTGAATTGAATTTTGATATAAACTGGCTTACTTTTGATATATTTGATATCGCTTTACCTACTTTTTTTGTCTTTTATGTACAGACTTGAAATTTGGACTATGTGTGTAATTTGTGTAATTTTTGATGTTGAATTCAATTTTGATACCAGCTGACCTACTTTAGGTATTACTGACATCATTTGACCTACTGTCTTGTAATTTGACATTCAGATTTTAAATGTTGACCAGGTTTGTAAATTCTGATGTCGAAATGAATTTTGATATCAACTGACCTACTTTTGATATTTTTGATATAATTTGACTTTCATTCTTGTGTTCTTGACATACAGACTTGAAATTTGGACTAGGGTGTAATTTCTGATGCTGAATTGAATTTTGATATTAACTGGCCTACTTTTCATATTTTTTACAATGTTTGACCTATTGCTTTTTTTTGAGGTACAGTTATGTTACCATACAGAATGTATATAAAAAAAATTGTCCCAAACTGTGAACTTCAAACAACTACACCTTACATGTTTTGCATGTGACATTTTGTGTTTTCATTCAAAATAAGTTTTTAAAAAAATTGTCCAATCAAAATTAATCCTGCTCTAGTGGTCAGTTGTTCTGCATTTATTCTACATAGTCTCATAGGAACACACTTGCAACATACATATTTTAACAAATCCTTTCCAAAATATAAGGGCAAAATATTACAATTTTTATAGTGAATAATGAAATTATGGGTTAGATGAGTCATCTAGGGCCATCTTAGTGGTCCTATTGTTTATTATGAAGAAAAAAAGCTAAAACAATCAGTGTTGTGAAAGTATATTACTAAAGGAGCAAGTCAAAGTTGATCGAGCTGAACTGCCGAAAGAGCTGGACTTGCCTTTCAGCAAGTTCTTTTGAAAATTAATTTCCAACACTGAAAAACAGTTGTTTTTGGTGAGCGACTCAGGGCCATCATGGCCCTCTTGTTTAATAATTTCATTTTTCTTGCGCAATTCTCTAAAATGAGACT